ATCTTCCTCTACATAAAAATGCAGCTTTTGATGCACACACGCATGAATTACAGTTGTAAAAGATGGTTGAATCTTGTTTGTAAGAGGGAAAAAAAGGAGAATCTTATGCATTTTGAGCATAGTCTTTCTTATCATGAAAGGGTAGCTCTAGCCCTTGCAACAAAAAATGATGCTTTTCCAATCTAAGGTATGAATTTCAGTGCCAGAGTTTTAAAGGTCATCCACATGGACAAATTAGTGTCAGCTGATCCTTGGTAATTGTCAGTGGGATAAGTACAATGTAATTTGAATTAGTTCAGGCTGTTATTGCTCGTGTTTAATGTCAGCCCCTTAGAGACACACAGTTACAAACTGAAATGTATGCAGGTGATCTCCAGCTCCATTCTCACAGGAGCTATGTGGTACAGATCCAAAAGAATGACTTGGATCATACTTGGATGACTTTGGGTGAGAAATCCTGAAGTATGACTGTGAAAGAGTTGGATATCAGATACCTAAGAATGTAGTGCAGTGTGTCTCCAAGTAACCTCTCTTGGCGTGTCTAGTGTGTAATCTAACCAGGAGCGTAAAGCACTTCCAGGGGAAGACAGGTTTCTTTTGCTTGTCCCATCAGAGGTTGTATTTAGTCCGTGGGAAGAGATGTGGATGAATTACATGCATGAGGTTTGAAGACTCCTTAATGTGCCCCCTGTTAAAAGGGAGCCCCTCTATGTGTTTTGTTTTCAGTTACTGAATGGTGTGGAGGGGACACACACACACAAACATTAAAAAATGATTAAGAATTGCTTTGCTTGACTGTTTGGCTATAACCATATACATTTCTTGGACTCCTCTTAATTTCCTTTATGTTCTGATCCATCTGGTCAAACATGGACTGAGTTGTATTTCCCCACAAGGTGAGAACGCGCCATAGTTGCGTTTAAAGTAGCTCCCAGTCTAACTGTGGCAACAGATGCACAACTACTTTGTCCCTCAAAGTTGGAATGAATTTAAGGAAATAAATTTTAATATTGGAAGGTATTATTTCTTGTGAAGTGTGGTTTTTTTCTCGTTTTTTTTTTTTCAGTTAACACTATGGGGGCTGTCAGAAATCCTTACTCATCACAGTTGGGTACCAGTCTTTGCACAGTGTCTTAACTGTCTCTGCAAATCAAACCTAAAAGAGCTTCATTTGAGCTCCAGTGAAAAACTTCTTGCAGAGAACTTGGGGATCTGAGGAATATAGCTTGTCCTAGATTTGCTGTATTTTAGCATCCTTAACTTTTGTCAGCTCTTACTGTAGAGATGATGGCATGAACCTGCTCTTTGGTTGGAAACAGCTTGCAAAAATGACTTGGATTTAGCATTATATTTCAGTGTTGGCTCCAATACAGTCACATATGCTAGTTTTCTGAAGAAAAGATGAAATTTAAAGAATAAAGGCTTTTTTTTTCCACTGAAGATATCGATGTAGTTTTTTTTATGGTGTTCTGTTTTGAGTAGTGCCCTATTTCAGTATGACTACCCGTGCTTTTTAATAAGTGATTAGAAGTGAAAGCTGACAGATGATTTAGGGTACTATGAACATATGCATATGAGAATTAGCTCTCTTCCAGGGTTTTTTTGGGAAGGTCAAATCAGGACTTGTTAAGAACTGTGTTTTCTGAAGCCACATGGCTATTGTTAGAGTGTTCCTTTTGCGGGTGCCAAGGGCTGTACCCAGGAAATGCATTGAAAGGTTTCTTAAACTAGGGTCAGTGTTCCTTAGTGGAAGAGCTGTAAAGTAACTAAGAAACTGTCTGTATTGTGCATGACAAAAGGTGGTGTGTTTTGGGAGAAAAAAACCCTACCATTCAGTTTCTTCAGGTATCAGCATTAAGAGCAATCTTGCTCAACTTAGGTGAAAATGAAGTAAACCACTCTGTCCTTAGCACAAACCTAGTTCTTCAGGAGATGTAGTCAACACAAAAAAGGGTTAGAACAGGGTTAGAAAGGACTCAATTACCGCAAAGCCATAGACGTAGTTGACGTTAAGGTGTGTTTTTTTGTTTTTTTTTTTTAAAAAGATGTGGTGATGAGGTTGAACTCTAAATCCACGTTTCTACTGTAACTTGAGAGCTGCTCTGCTGGAAGTGGTTGGAAAAGGCAGTGTGGATGGATCCAGTGAATCAGAGGATAATGCTGAGTTACTCCTATGATTCTCAGGTGAATGTGGTGAAGCACTTTCAGCACAGCAAGAAGGACTTAATGCTGTTCCATACAGCTGTAAGGTTGTACCTGGAGTGCTGCACACAAGCCCAGTCACTCATATGAGAAACATGAACTGAAGTTGAGCAAGTACAAACAAAGCTGGTTTTCTTTTTTCCCAGTACAAAATATCCTGAAACAAACAGCAGCATGAGGAATAAGAACCCAGGATTGCAGCGTGTCAGGACAGTGGAGCCTATTCTTCAGCTATCATGGGCAACACATTCCTTTTCCCCAGCTTAACTGAGTTCCACTCTATAAATAGTTAGGATGCTGACTTTAGCTATTCCCTTTAGAAAGCTGTTCAGAATGCATGGTCAGAAACAGTTCAGGATCAGAGGTTTCACCGAATATAAGTTGAGACTGCAGTAATATTTCTGAGTTTGCTACTTGACTTGTTTTGTTCAGTATGAAGGACTTTTAGTTTATGAGTTCTCTTTTGCTAAGATCCTACAGCTTTCATTTATCAGAATTTACGTGTTTTCTTGCCCATCATTTTAAAATTATGTGAATTCTCAATAAACAACTTTATCAAACATGTACAAAGTTGTTCTCAATTCTGACAGAAGTAGGGGGATGATTACACCAAGATACATACTTACCCCTTACTGTTGAGTTGCAAAGTAGCTGTTATTTAAAACTAGAAATGCAGCATTTGATAATTGGTGTTACTGGACAGCTTTTATCTGCTGTGCCCTTCAAAACATCTCCTTTATCTCAGTGGTACCTTTTAAGCACAGACCCACATTTTCATTGTAACCTTGCTATCACAGATAGAATAAAGGTCATTTGTTTTATTTGAAGGTACAAACAAGATTACAGTAACTTTTATTCTTGTTTTTAATAAAATTAAACCAAAAATGAACTTAACTACATCTTTCTTTTACGTCAGTACAGTGTTATTTGGATCTGACAGATTTTTAAAGAATTCACTGACCCTGTATATGTGATACCTGATTTTAAAAAGTGGGTGCCTAAAATTAGATGTCTCTATCTGCAGCCTTGGTCTAGTTTTCAGAGGAACTGGAAGCTTGGAGAAGGATTCTCTTTCAGCACTGCCATTGCGTTTTCTGATACTGACAGGATGAGCTGGGTCAGAGTACTGAAAAACCAAGGCTGCTCTCAGTTTCTTTTGTTCTTTCTGATTCAAAAATATACCCACTTTTTTTTATTAAATCTTAATAACATTATTTATAATTAGAATTATTTATTTAAAGAATTGAATTCTTTATCAAAACCTTTTCCTCTTTGAAGCTTCCTCAGGAAAGTTGGAGTGGTGAGCTGTATTCAGATTAAATGTTTGAGTTTGGAGATCTAGTCATGAAATCTAATTTTCAGCATCTGTATTTTGGGTGTTGCTGCTGTGTGTTGCCTGCACAGAGAATGAGCTTGGTTGCCCCTTTCAGACCTACAGCACTGTCCTACTTCTGGGAGGCACCTGTAGGGCAGTTCCAGGCACCCAAATGCCTTGCTCAGATACTGGGATATACTTTGTTTTTTTAAATCTGAAATGTCTGACTACACAAGGGAAATAACTTTCTCAGTTTATTTTTATCAGTATTTTATAAAAAGGCTGTCCTTCCTGAATAATGCATTCTTTCTCCCTCTGATTCTGCTGACTTGGATGCAATATGCTTACTTAGATGCAAATTTTCCAGGGTTATCATCACTACCTTCTCTTTCACTTTTCCCTTTTTCTTAGGGTAACTTTTCTGCTCCTGAGTTTTTTAAGACAGTGAGTTTTTCAAGGCAACAAATCTACAAATGATTGATTAAATGAATAGATCAGCTGTTGCCCAGCGAAGTTATTTTGCTGCACAGAAGATGCTTCCTTCTTGCTGTGTTTCTGACTGAGTCACGTTTTTAATAGTATCAACACCCAAGATGAAGGAAACAGTGTTGAGCCACTGATGCCTCATTCAGAAGCAAATAAAATGTTGTGTGTGTTTTGTTTTTTTTTTTTTTTTAACCCCACAAAGACTTGGAGGGTTAAAACTGTCCTGCTGTTCGATTCCTTTCCTCCAAGATTTCTGACAGATTAGTAGGTGATTTGGTCTTACCTTATTGTGTTGAAATGCTGGTGCTACGTCTTAGAAACAGTTTGATGCAAGTCACTCTGGGCTCAAGGTACATCTGATCTAAATAAGCCCCCAGCCTTATGAAGAGGGAGATTGTGCCCCTGGCTTCTGACTGTGAAGAAAACATCATGTTTGATGAGCTCAGGCTTGGACATCCAGTGTAGGCACACGAGTCTCTCTGGAGTGTGTGTTGTCACCTGGAATTAGTTTGATTCAAGACATGATGGAAATAGTAAACATGTTTCTTTCTTTCCACACCTTTACAGCTTACTCCAAAATAGATCTTCAGAGAGCCCCTTGTATAAGATACAATTATCCTTAGGTTACATGTGAAGGGCGTATAAGTCTGATTACTTTCACAACTCAGGTGGATTCAAACTTCAAAAAACAACCCACCCCACCCACCCCTCCCCCAGACAAAAAAAAATCACACTGTAAATAAGGCTTTTTTCTTAATTTTAGAGTAAAACATGCTGACCATATAATTCCCCAGTACCTGTTATTCTAATTAAACTGTTCTTATGGGTTTAGCTTTCTATTAATAAGATATAAAACGTAAGAGTCTTGAAATTTACATAGAATACACTCTTGTTGACCTGAATTCAGTTTTAAATTGTTGAGACTGGATTTTCTGTTTATTAAAATCCAGACATTTCTTCACAACCTAATAGATGCAATGTTTTTTTTCTTTTCCAGATCTGTTTTCTCCTGTTTGCTGTTCTCTACATAGTTTCCTACTTCATAATCACAAGATACAAAAGGAAAGCAGGTAAGCACAGAATTTTTAACATATCCAAAAATAATTCTGTTTCTCAAGTGAATAGATGATTTGTCTTCTCTCTGAAAAAAGAAAGCAGAAGAACAAGATCCCTGACCAAAAGTGTTTGCCAGGCTGCTGGTCTGGGGGAGCCTGGACTGACCTGATTGTCTCTGCTGCTGTCTTGCCCTCTCTGTGTTTCCTTTGTCCCTGAGCCATGAGTTCCCAGATTCTCCCTTGTGCCTACTCTGGCACTCCTCAGGTCCTTCTTTGTGCCATGTGGGATCACTAAGAAAGGCAGGGAGAGCACTAAAGTGTCTCTATGATTGAGTGGGAGGGCCACAGTCACTGGTTCTGTTGTGGCTCTGTGACAGCCTAAATTTTAACTTTTTTGAGAGGATAGAAAGGGATTAATGTCAAGTAGACGCTTCTGCCTCCCTTGCCTTTAGATCCTGTTGCTCTCCTTTTACATCAGCTTTTCTAGAATAAGTATTTTCAGCTCTGTTTTAGCACCAAAATCAAGTTTACATCTTTAGCTGGTAAAGTAAAATGTTACCAGTGATACAGAAGGAAAGTGCTGTATTTCTTCTAAAAGTCCTGCTTTGCTCAGGTAAAGTTATTTTAGTGTTCTTAACCTGTTCCTTATGACTTCCACTGAAGTCTTATTTCTTGAGATAATACTATAATTTTTTTTCCTTTAGAAACATTATCTGTCTGAAACTAGGCTGTAGGAAGCCCCATCGTTTTTGTCTATATTTTTTTCTAAAGACAGTAGCATAAAAATCTGTATAAAATGTCAGAATCTTTGACTCTTGGCAGCTTATCTGGGACCTTGGTGCTTGCTAATAGTCAGTCATGCTGTAGAAACATTCTTGTGCATGATGATCTTGACACTTTGAGCTTTAATGGAAACTGTTTATTCAGCTATAGTGACCTGTGTTATGATAGAGCTGCTTTCATAGAAGGAGTCACATTTTAAAAAGTAAATGCTTCGTGAAATTTAATACCTTAAAAAAAAGGTGCATCTCTTTAAACGTAGGAAGTAAAACTGACATTATCCTCTGATCCTAATATGTATTTTGGATATTACAAAGCTGTTACCATTTGGAGTTACAGAAAAACAGGAAGGGGAAACTGGTTTGGCAAATACTGTTGGATGCAAAGACACTTTTACTACCTTTTTCTGGCACTTAGTCTTGGCTAGGAAGAGGAACTGCTCTGCAGCTGTCTTTCAGAAAGCTCTGTAAGTATTTAGGTAGACAAACCTTGTAGCTTGATAGGATCTTCCTGATGAGACATTTTTGAAGAGTCAACACAACTGGAACTCTTTAAGGACAAATTGTTCATTCTTTATCCAAAAAGCTCTTTAGCCAAATTGATTCATAAGAGACCTTGACTTAGTCTCTCAAAATACCATGAGCTTCCCATCAAAAAAACCTCAACAACCCCATGTACTTTCACATAAAAATTTCAAAATAGCATGAAGTTAGTGGTTACATGTTTATTACAAGTGTGTGCATGACTCTTAAGTACGTAAAACACCTGACTTTATTTATGCTTAGATTTTAAAATAAATTTGATTTACCTCTTATGGAAAACCTGACAAATGCAAGAAAGCTGAATGTAAAATGATTTCAAATTTAAAAATGCTTACATTTGTGTACTGATGTAGAGAAGATTGTAAAGAATAAATGATGTGTTAGTGATTGATCTCTGAGTTAGATGTTGATATTATTTCAAATAGTTGTAGTATTAAGTAAGGAATAAAGAAACAGAAATTGTCTAAAATGTGAAATACCAGAAGGAAAACCATGATACCTTAAATCTAAAACAAATAGCAAGAATAACAAGACCCCTCCTTGTTGTCGCAAACCCCCAAGAGCTGGGAAGAGGGATGAGTAAGGGGAAGCAACTGAATAGTCATCACCACTGCTCTGGGAATGCTTTCTTGTTTTGAGAAGACATTAGTACTGAAAATGAAACATCTGTTCAGGGATTTCCAGCAGTAGTTAGCTTGTACCCTAAGACTTTTCCTATAGCTTGCCTGCTCTCTCTGGTTTCAGAGATGCCCAAAGTGACAGTTTCTAGTAGCAGCCATGGCAGTAGTAGTCTGAAAGTGTGTTTGCCATAGAGCCCTCTGGAAGGTGTTTCCAAGAAATTTTGATCTGCATATTTAAGTAAAGTGAAATAACCTCGTTGTTATATTGATTGAAGAGAGTTCAACTAGGGAAAAAAAAAAGGCAAGAGTATTCATTTTTGGAAGGAACCTTCTTAAAATATTGATGCTAATAAATTGTATGTCTAAATTTTAATTGCAAATTAAAATTATTTCTATGTATATACATTTTAGCCTCAGGAAAGACATGTAAGTATGGAATATAACCTGCTGTAATTTAATTTTCAGATGAACAAGAGGATGAAGATGCCATTGTTAACAGAATATCGTATGTATAGCTCTTCTGTGCAGAACTTTTTTCCCTGAATATATTGTTATGATAAGAATCTTGTGTGCTTTCAGATAAATAACAGCCCTTTTTAGATGTGACAGCAAATAGATTGCTAGAGGGCAGAGGAAAAAGATTTGGTTACATGGTACCTTGTGCTATCAAAGTTTGGTCTAGGGCTTTTTTCACCTGTGGTTTTCCTGGTAGGCATGAACATTGCATTAGCCAGAATATTGTGTGAGGACCTGATGCAAGAGGTAGAACTCATTGCAAGACCTGCACCTAAGTTTAGATCTCTAAAATGTAGGTATTTAAAGTTCCCCCTGTGGTCGATGGAAGCCCTGTCAAGGGAGGCAGTGGATCCTGGGAAGAAAGTTAGCTCCCTCTGAAGTAGACATCTGTATCTGATCATTGTAAAAAAGCTTAAAAAAGAATAACAAGTGGAAGACAAACACTTGCCAGACCTGCTTGTTTGCCAACAACTCTCTCTTTGTCCTGTTCCTTTGTGAAGCTGGATATTAATATCTCCTATTTAAATATGCCTCAGGATTTACAGAACATCCGTGAGCTGTTGCTGCCATCTCAATTACATGATTTGCTGAACTGTGTGAACCTGCTACTTGCTTATGACAATGTTCTTAGCTCTTCCCTGGTGGTACTGTCATCCTCTTGGAAGGAGAGCTCTTTGAGTACTTTATTGATTTGTCTTGTACCCTGGGAAGGTGCCGAGTACATTGCAAGCTGTTCACTTTTAGGTGTGCAGTGGTGGCAAGCGGGAAAGATGTACAAAGGAGATGTAAATCTCAGGTGCACTTCTCCCAATAGTGTGTGATACTGATACTTTTTATGAATTCAAAACACTTATTTGCCACAAGGTCTACTTCAGATCTAGAGAACAATACATATTTTTAAATGCCATGAAGCTCTTCCCTCTCAAGTCCAGGAACATCTCTCCTGTGCTTTTAAGACTACAGTGACGGCTCTTCTACATTGAATTATTTTTATAGCACCTGTGATCCACCTGTGGTTCTGCATTTTTCAGTATTCAAAGGGTAAAATTTGTCTTGTTAACTGTTAACTCCCTGCATTTGTTTTCTAATTTAGCTTTAAAATACAACAAACATACACCGTGTTTGCATGAAGAACAATTTAAGACAAGATTAGCACTTCCATCAGAGTAATAGCGTTTTGTTAAAAGTGTTGTTATAAATATAAAATGCTGTTTTTTCTTTCAGCATAAGCTTTCTTGTTCCTCAAGAGTGTGCATGTTGTTTTTCAAAAAGCAATAACTCTCAAGCATCTGTACACAGATTTTTCTTCATGTGGCATAACTGTCAGGACTTAAGAGGGGTGTGTGTAGAGAAAACAAAGCCAAACTGCTGTAGCACCTTTCTGTAGTGTGTTAGGTTTCACAATTCTGGCTTAGAATACTTAAAATTCCTTAAATCAATGAAAAAAAAAGTCTCAGAAACCAACAACAATAGCATAAGAATATTTTTAAAAATAAAATTAGTCACTCAGACTTTCTACTCTAGATTAAGTATTGTGTAAATGAAAAATGGATTCGTAGACTGTTAAGGAAAAGTAAGATTTCTGTAAGCAAGTTACTGATGTTCCTGTTGTAGTGATGATCTATTTAAGATCATATTTTTTGTCATGCTATTTTTAGAATTATTTCTGATTTTATTGTAGCATTGTATTTGTTCTGTAAGAATGTTTTTGTTGGTTTTTTTTTCTTTTCTAAGAACACAGTTCTTTTTAATGCCACAAGATGGCATTTGCTTTAAGTTGTGTTTGGGATCTATAAAGAATAAGCTTAAATATTTGAAATAATTCTGACAATTTCTGGGTATTGACTTTACAGCTATGAGATGATAACTCAGATTACTACTTTGTGTAAGAAAAGCAATTTTTTTTAAAATTTCGTGTTAAAGTATTTATGTATAATTGTACTCTTTAGACATTAGAAAGCTGCTCTGCTTTTAAAAATTGTACTAAGAATATAGAAATGGATTTTTTTTCTTGCGTATGTGTGTATGTGGGAAATGAGAACTAAAAGAGGAGTCCTATGAAAAGATATTTCATGAACTCCAGTAATTTAACCTTTGTATCACATTGGAATTGAATGCATGCAGGTCCCAAGAGAATAATTGTGGTAGTTGGTAAAAATTAATTCTTTTACTAGATTCTATAAGCTATTTGATAAATTAAATTTGTGTTTTGGAAGTGAAATGTTGTGGAAATCCCAGTTTTTCCTGCCCATTTACAATGTAAGAATGTGTTGCCTTCAGACACTGATTGACAGGTAGGCTAACTACTTTTTTTTCCCCCCTGTTCAGAGCATGTTGGTGGTAACAGTGGTACATTTCTTTAAATTTCAGGCTATTCTTGAGCACCTTCACTCTAGCAGTTTCAGCTGGTGCAGTCCTGCTTCTACCTTTCTCAATAATCAGCAATGAGATCCTGCTTTCTTTTCCACAAAACTACTATATTCAGTGGTTAAATGGCTCACTAATTCATGGTTAGTACTCGGCATAATGTAATTAAAATGGATGTCTTCATTATACTTGCACAGATGTGTTCTTATTTTCAAACTGATAACTCCATTTTCATTTAATATGCTAATTGAATTGTTAATGTTCTGTTGGCTCATTGTTTTTGCTGCTGTGTGATATTTCACAAAATCTGTCTTAACTGTTCTGTTGGTTGTTTTTTTTAAGAATTAGGCAAACTTGATGGAATTAAACCAAATTCACTGCTTTGAATATTAATGTAAATAAGAGCTACTAGAAGCTAACTTGAAACATGCTATTCAAGCTTCTTCCTTGTGTGTTAATGCAAGATTCACGTTCCTTTCTCTTTAAGATGATAGCTATTAAATTTATTCTCAAAATAAAAAAAAAATGTTTTAAGAAACTTGCTATGAATATAAGCGTATCATGTGGTAAAGATGTGCAGTAAAATAGTAACTGGTGAAAACAGGACGTTCTTTGGTAGATTTGGCTGGAGAAAGTAGGTTTACTATGTGAAACTATTTAATATGGAACAAATAATTTACAAGTTAACTGTGGTGTCCTTTTAGCTCTCGTGAAGAGATAGTGATTTGGCTTGAGCAGATTTTTCTCTGAAAAAATGTATGCTTTTGCTAAATGTCTAATAATACAAATAGCAAATTCATTAATTTCCAGATCACTCACTTGCAAGAATGAGTTTTGGGTGTTTTTGTTTGTTTGTTTGTTTGCTTTTTTGTGAAGTGAGAGGCCAGAAGTGGTGTTTGCAGAACGTGAAGGAATAATTCTTCACAGTGGGGATGATTGGACAGTGGAAAAGGTTATCCAGAGACACTGGGAGATCTTGAAAGTTTTCTAAAACTCTGCTGGTTAAAGCCCTGAGCAACCTGATTGCACCTGCTGTTTAGTTTTTTTAAAGGCAGATTAGACTATGTGACTTTATAGGTTCTTTCTAGTTGAGTTATTCTATGATTTGTTTTGTCACACATCGTAGGGGATAGCTAATTTGGTATGTCTCCTCCATGGGAGGAAAAAAACCCCAGCTAATTCTCATTCTTCACATGGCTTTGACTGATCAGACCTTTGCGTGCTTTACTCCCAAACATAAGAAAAAAATAAAATAAATCCTTCCTTCTGTGTCTGAAGTGTCTTTGGAAAAAGGACAGTAAAATATTTCAGAGACTGAAAATTATGTAATAGCCAATTCAGAAATTTTCCCATTGTCAGAATTGCTACACTACAGCAGAAAACTTGGGTTAACAAGAAAGCTGCTGGAGTAAGTAGCTGTCAAATAAGAAGGCTTTTGAATTTTCCAGTTACCATCTTCTTTTGATTTTAATGTGGAAAGTACCACTTTATGCCTGCACAGTGTAATTTATATTCTCAAGTCCAATAGCAGTGGGTAGCAAGAAAGCAAATTCAGCATCTTGGTGCTTCCAGGTGTGTGTATTGCAAAGCTTATCGTAGGGGCTGGTATGACTGAGGTAAACCTTGTGTGAGTTAAGTTGGTGTGAAGAACTCCAGGAGCATCAGGAGGTTTTGGATCTGTGTGCGGGAACGTTTCCCTGGGGGAAGGGCTCCCTCTTGTGGCACCCGCCGGGTTTGCACACCCGCATTTCCCGGCTCTAAACCCTGTTCGTGTCTGGCAGGACCCCGGCGAGGTCAGCGACAAATACCTGTGCGAGCTGTGAGAGCTCGTAGTGCCATCACGAGCACTGAAGCCCAGCCAATGTTATGTCTCTGTCCAGCGTAGCCTTCGTGTACGGCTTGTGTACTGCTTTGCAAGTGTTATCAAATGGAAAAATTTGTATTACTTGAAAACACTTCATTTTTTTTAGATTTATCAATTACAGCTATAATCTGAGGTTCTTGAACCTGACACTAAGGAATTTTATGCTTCAGATTGTTGCATTATTTGTGGCATATAGAAAAGTAGAAAATATATGCCTCAAATTTTTGAAAGTAGGCAGAAAGGCAGAAAAAACTTCTAAAACCTGGATCCATTATGAACACTCTTACCTAATTAATACATGCTGAACTAAACCCAGAACTAGTTCTGACAGCTGGTGTTCCCCTGTGCTGCTGTTGGGTACAACCACCAGGTGGGGGTAAAACGTAATGAAACTGCCACGAATAAGAAGGATGAGAGATTACTTAGGGTCTACTCTGTTTGCCAAAGACTGAGAGATTTTTAATTTCCGTGTTTTATTAACATGTTTTATGGGGGACATTCTTAAGTCACTACAAATGCAAAGGAAAAAAAATTAAAATATTCTAATAGACAGCTTAAAGCTTTCTTGTATGTTGATATCTGCAAGTCTCTTGCATTTTTATGATACAGTCAGCGTAGTAGGAAATAATTCTTTTTCTGGGTCTATTTTAATTTGATTTCTGAACTATCAGATTAGGATAAGAAATATGGAGGGCTGTGTATGTTCCTTACTTTGAGGAAAGTGCTTATGTCTGTCAGCAGCAGAACATCACTGTCCTTCCCTCTCAACTTCAGGTGCACGTTGTAGCTCTGTAGTTTAATATTCTGTAAATGTGGTTGGTATCAACTGGTAATGTGTAAATTTGTGGATTTTAACTTCTTAAAAATCACTTAAAGAGTGGATATGCACCACTCTTCCCTTCCTTGAAGTGCTCTACATGCTATGCAGCGCCTGAGCACTGTTTTGTATTGTAAGATACGTGTGTAACAGAGCTGCTGAAATTAGGACAAGCAGGTATTCAGCTTTGCATTAGGTGACTGAATGCACTGTCTGTCTTCAGCTAGAGAAAACTGCTGAAATAAGACTCCCACCCCCATCTAGTAGTATTTCTACTCTGACTCTGGTGTCTTACTTGTTAGGGAGGAAAAAAAAAAAGCAGACTGCTTGAGTTAATGTCCCCTCCTAAGGGCTGTTAATGACATTCTTGCTGATGTTGCTATGCCTGAATGTTTCTCGAATGGTAACAGGAGCTTCCTGGCTAAGCAAATTCAAAAGGAAAAATCCCCTTCTTTGTTAGCTGGAGTTTAGCTACCTTTAGGCAGTCTGTTTTCCTTAGCAATTGAGTGTTATATTTCACGCATCTATTGGAATTTTCTCAGTTTTTTTTCTGTGATGTATTTGACTAACTTTAGTTCCTGGTGTCCTGGTGCTGTCAATTGCTGAAGCAGTAGTTCTTTCGGTCCCCTGCCTCCCTCTTCCCCCCTCGTTTTTATTTCTTCTTCAAATTTAAATAATGTCATTTAAGGAGAAAAGACGTATATGGTGAAAGCATTTTTTAGGAGGGTATAGGTGAAGATCACTGCTAAGTATTTTACATTTGGAACTACATACAGAAATTCTCTCAATAATGAATTGCCCACACACCCAGTAAATGTCTCTTTCCTTCCCTACTCTTTCTGAAATGAAGAGTTTCAAAGAAGAAAAGGAAAAAAACCTCTACATGGGAAGAAAGGAAACAAACAAAGCTGTTAGTTCAAATTTTCTTATCATGGGGGATATTCTTTTTTTCAGTGATATTCAGGTGACATAACATAGTCCCACAGAATTGTGGAAACGTGTGCTTTAGGGAAGGTGGGGGACTAAGTGTTTTTCTCTACAAAGTAAAAGCTGTTTTTTTCAGGATGCAGAACATGTGACAGTAGTTAGACCTCTTAGCTGCTAAATTGCAGGTAAGCTTCTGCTTTTATAAAGAAGAAACACCACATCCTGTACAACTTCTGATAGGATGAGTGATGATGGGTTTATGTGTAGGCACCAGAAACTGGCTGTTCAGAAAGTGTTCAGCTTAGAAAATCTTTATAGAGCAGATACCCTAATGGAGATTAGCTATCACTTCAGGCTGTTTGCTAAACCTGTTCCCTTCCTGCAGATGTCACATGTGTCTTACAGATGTCCTAGTTGTAATCAGTTGTTGATTTTTCCCATGGCTGAAAATGGTTGAGGTTGGAAGGAGCTCTGGAAATAACCTGCTCCAAGCAGGGTCAGTCAGAGAAGGCTGCTCAAGGCACTGCCCATTTGGGTTTGAATATGTTGAAGGGTGGAGGTTACAAAACCTGTGGGCATCCTGTTGCAGTGTTTGAGTACACTCACAGTGGAAAACATTTGGGATTTTTAGTTTGTTTGTTTTTCTTCTTTCGTCTTATAACTAAGTAGGTTTTCCAGTTTTTCAATTCGTGCTCATTGCCTCTTCTCCATTCACTGGATACCACTGTGAAGATCCAACTCTGTTTTCCTTTCCTCCTCCCTCATCAGATATTTTTATATATTGATAAAATCTCCCTGAGTCTGCTCTTCTCTGTTCTCTGTCCATTTGTCCAGCCTGTTGGGGTTCATTGGAGTGGCAGGGGAGGACACTGCTCTTCCCCTACTTCTCTCTTGAGCAGACTTGCTGGGGATATGGTCTTTGCCATCACCCAGGTCACTGATGAAGATGTTAAACCCACCATGAACTCCATGGGGTTTTTATAGCACTGGTGACTGACTTCCAGCCTGACTGTGTCCTGCTGGTCACAACCCTGGGAGCCCAGAAGCTGAGCCAATGTTCAGAGTCCACTTATCTAGACCTTACTTCTTTAATTAGACTGTGAGGGGATTTATAGGAGATGATTGAAACCCTTACTAAAGTTGAGGTAAACAACATCTACTGAGCCAGTCATCCCCTTGTGGAAGGCTGTTGTTGCTATCTTCTGGTTTGGAGGTGACAATGGCATTTCTGCGTTAACATGGCTCATGTTAAAATCCATGGTTTGTTGGAGTTTCTCTTGGAAAAAATATGGGAGAAAGTGATTACACAGAATCTCTTGTGAGATTCACTGAGAACAGTAAAATACTTTTCTCCTGAAAACTTTGAAGACTGTTCTCTAAAGAACCTTCAATGAGATTTTGTGGAAGTAGTCCGTGGTTTCTGACATTTGCTGCTGTGTAAGTTGGTGTCCAGTTTTTGTTTGAAGATCATTACACAGAGAAATGGATGTTTTTCAGCAATGACCTGTCAATAAATATGTCCATAAAAACCTGGCTTCTGTTAGCACTTGTATGTATACTACATTGTTATATATAAGGGAGGAAAATGTAGTATCTTTAACTTTTAAACCTTAGAAACATAGAATGTCAACTTTTTCTTGTCTGTTGCAGGTTTGTGGAATCTTGCTTCTCTTTTTTCAAATCTATGTTTGTTTGTGTTGATGCCCTTTGCGTTTTTCTTCCTGGAATCAGAAGGATTTGCTGGCTTAAAAAAGGTAGGAAAACACTGTTAAATATGGAGTAATTGCAGTATATATTTCCTTTTCAGCCCTTGTTTCTGATGAAACTGAAATTATAAATTTGGGAGGATTTGGCTCTGGGATGTGTGTGCTTATGTGAAGGTGTAAATACGGCTGCACACTCTTGCACAAGCCATTGTATGGGGGAAAAAGGTATCCTTAAAAGCTACACGTACTGAGACCAAGAAAATGACTTAACTCTTTTGTTGGTTTTTTTGTGTGTGTGGTTTTTTTTTGTTTTGGTTTTTTTTTTTTTTTTTTTTTTTGTTTAAATGAAATTATTTAGTCAAGATTTTTTTGGAAAATGAGGGTTTTTGGGGGGGATGGTAAAAGGAGAGAAGGTTCAATAAGTACACTAGAAATAATGTAACAAGGAAAAGGAGCACAGGTTTCTTGCTCATGGGACGGGTGATTAAATAGCAGATGATCCCGTGAAGACAAGCTTGATTTGTGAATTTTAAAATTACAAACGTCCCAAAGGAGATTCAAGTATGGTCAGTATTTAAATAATATGTTAAGAAAACTGTCTTAAATGGGTAAAGAATACCATAAAATATTCAACTTAGTTGAATATACTTAAGAGAGCCAAGTATTTCAGTGAGGCATGGAACTTGGCAAAGCAATTTTTGAACAATAGAATGATAACGATTGTGTTAATATGTGAACTAAAGAATTACAGTGAAAAATTACTATAATGGAGGCACATCAAAATGAATTTCGAATCATAAATATCAAATAGATTAAACTGGAATGACTGTCTGGGGACCAATTGTAGCACGTTTCCATTAATCTTTATCATCCAAATGATTACACTTTTGTTTTTAATGATACTACACATGAGGGAATTCTGCTCCCTTTGGATGACAGTTCTCAGAAAGCAAAGGGTCTTGGAAAGTGATCTGAAGTCTGGAAAATGAAAAGAGTTAAAGGTGAATATGGATGACTATGAATCATCGATAGATGGCATGTCATGTAAAGCCACAGGGGCATAATTGTGTTTGGAAGGAAAACGTAATTCCTGGTTGCATTGACAGGAACTGGCATGGAGGCAGTGATGTTGCCATTTTTGCTCTTGGTGGAATTAGGAAAAACTCAAAGTGCTGCATTCAAGTTGGGATTTTAGGGCTCATTTAAGAGAGAAAACAGAAGACAGCAAAAAAAAAAAAGATCCTTCATACAACAGTTTCTAAGAAAAGTTTTAATTTGAGAGAACAACGTGGAGAAGCGAAAACTATGTTCCACAGCTGAAGGTACTGGGAGATATTACTTAGACTGAGCAATACAGCTGTGTCAGAAAACCCCACCCTGACCAGGTCCTGCTGGTGTGTAAATGTTGTTTGGTGTCGCCTGTGCTGAGTTGATGATGCTGCATCTTTGCTGTGTATTGATCAAACTGCAGATGTGTGTCCAGGGCCCTTCATCTACGAGTTTGGATGACCAAACTAATGCATTCAACTTTAAAGGAGTTTGGTGATGGGCTACTGTGTTTAACCCTGTTTGTCACTCTTGGCTGGAAAACACTCTCCTCTCTTCTTCCTCCACTTCAGGTGTCTACAGGCCTAAGAACTTTTAGCAACTCCATTTGTCCTTCCAGTTTTTGTGTGGAGGCCACTCCATTTTCCTTTAAGTATCTAGCCATTGTTAATATGTATCTTTTCTTCTAAAAAAATAAGTTAACTGATTTCAGTGAGGTTTGTGTCTCCTGCAATCCAACAAAACCAAGGATTCTCTCCATTAGCCTGCCAGGTACCATCATTCTGGTGTGTCCCCTTGACTTGCAGAGTTCTCTTGGCTCCAACAGATACTTTATGTATCCCAGATACATCGAACTTGCACTTTACACGAAACTTTGATAGTAACAGTGATATTGGCTATCAATAAATCCCATTCAGGATAAATAAGATGACCATTACATGTTTAAGCTTGGAAACATCTGTAACTCCAGATGAGATGGAACCATAATCTTTTTCAGATGTCAGGAAAAAGGTGATTGTTGCTGCTTTAGAGTAGTTTGGCTTTTCCATGGGGTAGATGAGATCAGATTTTAGTATTAAGACCCACCTTTTGAAAGGGCAGTGAACTCAATTTTGGATTTTTTTTTTTACTTCTCGGTGTGTTTGGAACATCCCAGATGCCAAATGTGATTCCTGGTGTAAGTGCTCAAGGCCTTTATCCAGTATCTGTTCTACCAGACTGCTTTATTTCAAAGTATCCAAAATGGATGCAGACATACTGAATTGTTTGATCAGTTTTGAGTGAGCTTTAAGGCCGATGGTGAAGATGTAGAAATTGTGGTCTATTTTAATATGAACAAACCTTGTCTTTGATCACTTTTGTTGGAAAATAAATGGCAGATGTCACTTCTGGACTAAGTTAGTAGTTAAAATTGAATGTGCTGTTCTGTTCAGATGCTCATGCAGATAAACAATTCTACTTGCAGTAATTACTATATATATTTTAAAATATTACATCACATAATTGGGTACTTAGAATCTGGGAAAATTTATGATTAATCAAACTTGGGATTATATGTAGGCTTTTCAGTTCTAGAATCTGTGAAGGAAGGGTATTTCCCATCTTATTTTATCTCCTGTAGATTTTTGTTATATTTCTTACCTCTTTTCAGAGGATATTTTGAGACCACGATTACTTTGTGGAATTCTGTTACTTTAACAAATTATTTTGTGTAAATTGAAAAAAATGTTGTATTTTGTCATCCATCACATCAAACTAATGGACCAGAGAGATAAAACATTGTTCAAATGGTATTACTGTTTGCTGGAAAAATCAAGATTTTGGTGGTCTCAATTTAAAAGAACATTTCATACATTTGGCAAAACTTGCAGCATTTAAGAGAAGAGCAAACTACTGTAAATGTGAAGACATTCAGTAAAGAGATTTGGCATGGATATGTAATCTTTAATCTTTCAGCTGGGAGTTGTAACAGCAGTTGATTCTAGATACCCAACTCAGCTCAAAATTTGGATAAAACGACTGCTGCAATGGAAGCTTTTATGCAACTCATCTTGAATTTGTCATTGAATTACCTTCCTTATAATGACTACATAGGTCATTTGAGATTTTGGTGTGCATAGCGGAGATGTCTATTTGAACGTGTTCATATATGAATTACTTGCTGGATTTTGATAAAAGTTCTGAAAATGAATAATTAAGAGGTTCATTTTTGAAATGGAACAGATTTTTTTACTTTTTAATGGATGTCTTTGTTCAGATTAAATAGCAACAGTAATTTTAGTTATTATCACATATGGACCTAACCCCCAAAGTTTTTAGCCATCTGTTTGAGTGTTTATCATAGACTGTGCTATAAAAGCTGATTTTATGCACTGACTGTAATGTGACTTTTTTTCAAGCTATGATATTTCAAATAGCTCATAGGTTGCTGTTAAAGCTTTGTATAACCTTTCCTTCCATGTTCCTGTATGGGAGCCTCGCTCCCTTAACTGTTTGAGTTTCCTGAATCAGAATGGGTTTGATTAACCATCTTCCAATTTGCTAAGGTTTTTTTTCTTGGCTGCTAGTATACTTTCTAAATGGCACATGGCCCCCCTTATAGACTCACTTTGATTCCCCAGGGCAACAGTTTAAAACAACCAAGGACTTGCATATTGTGCAGAGGAGAGAAATTCGGAAATTAGACACTCGCCATGGATGGATGCAGTGCTCTACTGAAATTCAGACTGATTCTTTGCCTAGCTTTTAATAAAAACCCACTATGTTAATTCAAAAAGGGCATTTTGGGCCTAGGGGGGTTGACTGTGCCCTATTAAAGAGCTTAAGTGCTGCTCTTTGCTCTAGTTTATTTCCATTTAATGACAGTTGCAGATTTCTGATATAAGAACAATAATTATAAATACAATATTGGAGGTGTATGATATACAGATATGTATGTGCATATATGTGTGTATGCCATGTGCTTATTTATGGACACATGTATTTTCGTGCACATATATGAATTTAGTTTTTCAAAACTACTGAAGTAATCGAAGGTCACAGTGATACATTACACCTTAGCCAGTGCATTGACTGAGCTATTGGAGTACCTGATGTAACTTTGACCTCCTGCATCAGTATTAAAAATGGTTTCATATCTTTCTATGTTCTCCTTGTATTTTGTATAGTCTCTGCATAAAGTTATGTTCCTTGTTTAGATAACCTTTCAGTTCTTCGTCACTGATGTGCTCAGATTCTGTAGTAGTTATGAAGCAAAGATGTCAGCTGTGTTTCTTTGTGTCAGAATTAACCTTATTCTTTATCATTCTGTCCAAAAAAGAAAAAATGTGATATTTGCAGTTGAGCATCTGTAGGTCACAGTGCTGACGTTTCCATGTGTGAATAACAGACTGCACAGAAAATTACGTGTGTGCTGCTGTGTGAAGGAGGCAATCATTTTTGAGGAGATAATTGCTATACCTTTTCTTGACCTTTAAAATATGCTTTCTCTTGATGTAACTTCAGCAGAAATTTGTATTTACTTGAAGTTGACAAAGGTAAAGATGTTTAAGAGTAATTTCCTTGTAAGAAAATACAAATAGTGCAACTTACCACTGTGACAAACTGGAATAACTGGATATTGTATAATCACAAGTGTAGAGTTTTAAAAAGGCTTTATGAAGTATTTTACCTTAATACTGATCTTTGAACTTGAAGTCATAGCATAAAGTTTAACATGAGCGACAGCAACATCCTGACCAATTATCCAAATTATCCAGACATCCCAAAATGTTCAGAACACAACACACAAAGTCTGTGGATTAAGAGGTTAACTCCTGGGACATCAAAAGAAGTGCATGATAATAAAAACAAATAGTACAAAAATTTGAGGTAACTTCCTTGCTTAATTAATTAGGTAGACCAGGTGGAAGCGAAGAGGCCAGAGCTGGTGCTCAGAATGTCTATAAAGCTGAGCAACATGACAGCACAATGGAGGAGGAACAAAGATTTTTTTAATATAC